ATTTCATTTTTAATAATAATATATTTTAACTGTTGTAATAAACGTAATTCAGAGTTAAATTTTCCTAATTTTTGTTAGGTAGAAACAGGGACAAGTTGACTGTTCTCTACATAGAATCTAATCTTTATCTTTAAGAAGCTTACAGGCTGATTTAATTACAGTCACGCTCGGTGTACACATACACGCGTAAGCTATCGTCTAACAGGCTAACGTTTTTGAAATGCTTCTTTAAAACAGAAGGAAAAATATTTTTATATATTTAAATGACCAAAGGCAGTCATGTATGAGAGTTCTCAACTGAAATAGCTTGAACAATGGTGTGTCTATTTTTCTCTTCGTTCCAACATTAACGAAGATGGACTTTTGCTACGAAGCTTTCACTGTCACCTCTTATTTATCTCTCGCAGCGGTGAAAAAATCGAATTGTAGATTGGTTTCGCTTTGATGAACTATGCCCGTATATCATCGCGTCAAGCAATCCCCAGACGAAAACCGATCATTTTTTGCGAAGTGACAATTCTGCGAAATGACGGGAGACAGATAGAAGTTAATAGTAATCGGTCAAGTTGAGTCGTTGGCCTCGCGTACAGATATCCGAATATCGGGTCAAGGTCGACACCACGGACAGCACCCAGACATGTACGTACCGTACGACTACGTGCATGCACACATGTCCGCATGTAAATCCGATCCCGACATCTATTTCACATTTCTAACGACCGAATAAAATCGTTCTTTATTTCCCGACTGGATGCACGCTGTTATACTTTATGGTTACCATCGTAACTCGCCAAAGATACCGGTTGAAAGCTTTTAAAAATCGCTCGCTCTTTAAATGGAACTCACGTCCGCTGTTTGTTTTAAATACGGCTTACCTCATAGCGACGCAATATCTTTTAATACATTTCGATATCTATGTAAATATGTACGTGTTCTATTTATTTAATAAATCATATTTTATCAACGTATTTAGTCCAAACTTCAGTTCACGCTTCAATTGGTTTCAATTATTTAGTTCATTGAATACAAATTACTGATAGTCATAATAATAATTGCAGGTAGACACGAGATCACGAGGAACACAGTTTTCCTAATAATTTTTCATTCTTCCCGTTGCACAGTTCTCCTAATAATTTTTCATTCTTCCCGTTGCACCGTTCTCATAAACCTGTCTGTTCATATCTTTCACGGATGAATGAAACTTAATTGGTTAAAGAACACCGTCTTTCGTTATTGCTTGTTAAGAAGGCTTATTTGACAAACCCACGAGCGAGCGAGCGAGCGAGCGAGCGGCTGTAATATGTATTGTATAGTAGATGTTATGTATATGTACGTATGTTATAGCAGGTAGGTAACTGCCGCTAACATTGACACGCTATCAAATTTCGCGGTGAACGATAAAACGGGGTCGTACGAGCGGATAAACAAATGTATTTCCTTTACCTGCGACCGCAATTTTCCTAAAGAGGTCCCATGGCCTTTGAACAATAAAGAAGTGCTCCTCGCAGAAGAGGCAAACTTTACAAAATAAAACTAAACTCCGTTTTTGATTCAACATTTCACAGCGAAAATTGTTACGTTAAAAC